TCAAAGGTTTTTCTTAGTCATCAAAACATTTTTTGCCAAGAATGGCCAATGCAAATGCTGCAAAAACATGCAAATGTAAAAGAAGAATAATGATTTATATCTCTGTTTTTGTGCAAGGAGACATTTTTTTCGTCAGAGTTGTAAATGATTAAAATAATTCGTTTTGCATCAAGATATCACTAATATGCTCATATCAGGATTCCTTAATAAGCTATTTAATTACCAGTTTCCTTTAAAGCCTGGAAAATCGTTTGGTGACGTCACAAGACGTAACCCAAAGTAACCTATTCGATACCTGACCAGTGTACGCATTATGTAATAAAAGCTGCAGTGAAATTCTGTAACTGGGATTGCTCTCTTCACATTATATTGACTCCGCTGAGGTTTGTTAAAAATAAAATTACCTTGTTTCCAAGTCCTGCTTTATCTCAGGACAGGCCCTATTTTCGTTCCCCCTGGTAAAGAAAATTCCGACGGACAAGGCGAAACGAATTTAAAGGGCACCTTCAACCAGTGTGCATTGCGGTGGTGCACTTCACCGAAATCATTTGGTGTAATACAGAAATTACGAACGTTCTGATTGTGTTTGAAAATCAGAATGTATAGTTACTACTTAAGGCAATAGCAGGCTGTGATGCCCTTCTTAAAAGAAACATACATACGATCCTGTTATCAAACACAGAAATCACGTTAGTGATTTCTGTGTTACAGCAAATGATTTCGGTGAAAAGCACGACCGAAATGCACAGTGGTTGAAGGTGCCCCATTTAACGCGACCACGTAAGAGAGAATGATGTATGGAAGCTGCTAAACAGTTGGCGTAGAACTCACACTATAATTTGTAAATTTATAAGTTTTCTTATTTTCTCTTATTTCTTTTTCTTCTTATTTATAGAGGGTGGCACAATCAAAACTCTCCGAAATAATCTCGATTGTTTAGAAGAACTAACCACCTTGTTGGATTGTGAAACACCAGGGATGAAAAACTGGCTGCATTTTGCTTGGAAGCTTGGTGTTCCCAAAGAAGACTGTGACAATTTAAAGCCAAAGGGAAACCCAAGTCCAACCAGAGCTTTAATGGAACACATCGTTCAAGTTGATCCAGGCCTCACAGTCAAGACGTTTATCGAAGCGCTGAAAAAGATGCAACGCATAGATGTCGTTAATGCTTTGAGGAAATTATTTCTGGGTAATTCACTTAATTATAATTACCAAAAGTTGACGGGATGTGTTGGCTAAAGTATTATTATCCGTTATCTTTGAGTAGAAAACTAAACATTTCCTCTGATTTAATCTGACTTTTTTCCTCACAGGTACGGGCCGTGAAGTGGGCTGAATTACTTTGTTGAAATAGATTTAACACGCACCTATTTTTTCTGATGGTCATTGTCCCGAGTAAAGAAAAGACCTTGATACATCCCCACTGAATATGAGCTTTGTTGCGATCCTAGCTTGCTGAAGATCGTAAATTAACGTGCAAGTCGCGTATTTCACACTTCTTTCTACCAATTTTACCTTGTGTTTTTTTGTTGTTGTTGTCTTGATTTGTTTGATGAGTTTGATTATTGTTTTTTTTTTATTGTTTTTTAAGATCATTATACGACAACTTATCAAGATTCCAATGGAAAAGACATCAGCATCGACGAAGAAGGTCTGTAACTAGAGACCATAGCGTGAAGCCTTTCCACTGTTTCCTGAAGGAAACACCTGAAGGTTATTCACTAGGTTTCGTTGTATTTAGTAGATTCAGAGACCACAAAAAATGTTGAATTTGCGACTACTTCATGCCCCCTTTTTGATGATATATTGGGAGGCAGCGTGCTCGAGCCAGGCCAACTCGCTGAACCAGCAATTGGACTCGCAATCCGGCGGTTCCTGGTTCGAGTCCCGCTCAGACCACTTTATGGATTTGGTCTTAGTCGTTTTGAGTTCAAATCCTCGTCTACGCTTGTAAATAACCGACTGGTTTACTCCTAGCAGTTGAAGTTTTTCCTCCTTTTATTTTCTATTTGGATAATTTGTTTTCAATTATTTAAGTGGAGTGCCTGTAAAGTAGCTGGAAAACCACTATGAACAGACATTTATAATAACCTTTAAATTAGTGAAATAGTGGATATATAGCTGTTTGGTGTCGTTTCAACATCACCTTAAATTAAAAATGTCATTAGTCGTACAGAGGTAGTTATTTTTCCCGGGGGTACCCCTATATATGGGTGTGTTCCCCTAAGAGGGTATGATTTTTGAGGTACTCATTCAATAAATAGCTAGGGTATCCGTTTTGGCTTCCCGGCAGATCTTTCGATGAGGATATGACGAGCATTTTTGAAATTATCAATATTTGACTTTGGTCATTTTACCAGCCCATAATATATTGGAGTACCCCCTCCCCAGGCAACTAGTGAGGAATGAAAGAGTTTTCTTTTGGTCAAAATGCGAACAAGGTGGCCTCGCACGTTGTGCAGCCTACAAAGAAAACCTGTCTTCTGTAATTGTTATAACTCGACTTGGGTAAAAAGAACCAGTGGAAAGTTGGATTATTAACCCTAAAAGTGCATTAGATAAACAGTGGAGTTTCAATTTTACTTTACATCTTGTGCAGATTTATTTCGGTCCCTAATGGTACAGAACGACGGAAAGAAAATCAGGCATGCTAGAGTTTAAGTATGTTTATAAATAACGCAAAATGACATAGTTGCCTTGAAGTCCGAATCTGTGACTGTTTTGTAAAAGAACAGTGAAAACGTTGGGTTTATTTTTCACTAATATTTTCACTTCACTGTTGGCTACTTCCTAGGCTCTTCCTGTATAGTTGCCTTTAAGTCCGAATCTGTGACTGTTTTGTAAAAGAACAGTGAAAACGTTGGGTTTATTTTTCACTAATATTTTCACTTCACTGTTGGCTACTTCCTAGGCTCTTCCTGGTAGTTAAATAGGGCTTTAAAAAAACTAACTTTAACGTAAATAACTTCTTAGGATAGCATGGAGATGGCCGTGGCTTAGAGTGATTTACTGAGAATTTGCTCAGGTTCTTGGTAATGGCAGCTTAATAGGAGAACGTTTGGTTTCAGTGACGCTTAAAAGAAGTGCGACTGTAGTTAAAATTGGTTGTATTTGTGGTATTCTTTTTCTAGGTCGTAGGTTTTCTATTTCCGTCTCGAGGATTTAAGGTTGCTTCATTATATGTATTGTACAATTTATTAGAAGAATTGTTGTTAATCTGAAAAGTTTGTGCTTACTTATATGCCGGCTTGAGAAATATTCCACATACAGGTTTCAAATATCCTTCGAATAAACAGTCATTAAACATTTGCTTTCTAAACTCATCCTCCTGGCTAAATAAGTAGAACAGAATGTTACGTCCTGTTTTTCGCGTTACTACAAGAATTATTTATAAAGGCTAGTGGTATGTAAAGAACCTGCCTTCAATAGATTTTCAGTACCCTTCCCTGAGGGAAAGACGATGGTATTTCTTACGCCCCGCTTATATTCGCAAATGACATACTCCTGGGGTGTGTGCATCTCAAAGTAAGGGCCTGTTTACATGGAGGTGCGGGACCCCAGGTAGGGGAGGTAATCCGCTTAGGTGGGGTAACCCGCCTGTCCATATAATCTCTCATTTTAATTTGATCACGTTTACATGATAGGTGGGGCACATGTTACGTCACCTATCTGGGGTCCCCCACCTCCATGTAAACAGGCCCCAAGATATAAGGGTTTTCTCTTTTTTTGTCGTCCGTGAAATAACAACGTATCAGTAACCACCCATTGGTAACTACACATTGCATTTACTGATGCGTTCGATTACCTTATTCTTGTAAAAAGTATCAATAAAACCCAGACTACTGGTAATTTTCAACTCATCTAGGCATATATTGTATATCGTTCGAAACTCTAAACTGCATTAAGCAGAAGAAAAGTTTAGAAAAATTGATAGGCGTGAAGGCAAATCCTCAGTGCGGTACAGTTAACTTATGTGGTGAAAAAGAAGTGGGGTGATGGTCACCGTTCGTGTCTGGCGTCAAAGAAGCAGGATTAAATTGAGAATCGTTGTACATGTTACTGCTGATTTCTCTTTGTTTAAGGCTCCTGCCAGAAGTCACTTATGGGTAAATCTAATAGTAGCTTGTACGTATTCTTTAAAAGTGTTATGATGCCAAAGGAATGGTTATACATTGTAAGGTGATCTTCCTCTTTTTTTTTCACTATTCGTATCATTCAGATACTGATTCAGGTTTGGGATCATGGGTGGCTTGTTATAGTAAGTCAACTAACTATTGATAGGATTCAGAAGCTGCAGCTGCTGCTGTTTCTTTCTTCTTACATTTACACTTCATCTAGAAGAAAAGCACAAAAACTACACAATTTTAAAGCGATAAAAAGATAAACTCTGTAATATGGCATCGTTTAAGAGCGAAAAGACGCCTCAAAGACATAGCTTCTTTTCTGCCTCGTCACCATGGCCAGGCGTCCCTCTCAACTCTCATGAGGCGCGTGTGGTGTCCTGGGAAGACTTAAACAGATCTAGCGGACGCGCTTCGCACCCCGATCCTTCCCTTCCCACAAATCCAGTGGTCTTGCTTTGCACCCTAATGTTTCCCATTTCGCCCTGCGCTCGCTGCTTTAATCGTGAAAAAGGAACCTGGGATGGGTCGCTAAATGCATGCGTTACATGCATACCGCCAAAGGTATTTTCGAGCATAAGACTGGCCCAGTGTCGATTCTGTGAACGAAAAACATTTTCAATGGACCGATGAAAACACATGCAACTATTTGAAAACCAATTCTCCTTAAAGGATAAATAATCTTATTGAATAAATAAGTGAAAAACATTTAATCCTGAAGTAACTCAATAAAGACTTTCGGAGCTCCTTATTTCTAAAGCATTAAACTAAGGGGTTACAGAGAGAATTTATTAGAGAAGAAGATAATAACAATGGTTGTAGTCAACTTAAGGTTACACTAACCAAGGATTTTTTCAATAGATCCCCGCGTACGGTACCAATCACAACAAAAGGAAGATAGCACAGCAGGAAAACACCAATAATAATTGTCGTTGTTTTCAGGGCTCTTTTCTCTTTCAAGAACTTTGCGAGAGCTTCAGGGGAGACTTGTTCAGCTTGGATTTGTTTTTCGTGGCGCCGAGTTACAATATACACGGAAATATGAAAGTAAACAATTGTTGCAACAGACAAAACACGAAAAGTAAAGTAGATTGGCCCCACGACAGTGGCGATAACGCCTGTGTAAGGTAGAGCATTAACAATGCAAGCAAGCCAACTAAAGCTAACAGCAATTTTTATCCGAAATGTGGTTACAACGTCCGGATACCTGAAAGGAAACTTCATCGCCGCATAGCGTTCTGCACTAAGTAGAGCAAGATGAAATAAAGACGCGGCAAAAGGAATGAAAAGCAACTTTGAAAATGTAACAAAAAACTGGCAGTAATAGGTGAGCGAGCCTTTTAAGACAGTTATTAATGCAACTGCGAAGATTGGTTGGACGAAAACTCCAACCAAAAGATCAGTTACCGCCAAACAGGCCAACAGTACGTTATAGTTTGTTTGCAGTTGTCGCCTGGTCTTGACCGCCACTATTACCAGCACATTCATTAGGATGGTGAAAGGACAGCTTGCAATGTTTAATGTTATGGCCATGAAAAAAAAAATGCTTGTCTCCAAAAGGTAATCTTCGGTTAAAATCGAAAGGGTCAAGACACAAGAGGACGTGAACGGTGAGGCTAATGAAGTATTCGCAACAGTCATCTCGCAGTCCTGTAGCAGAACTTAAGGAAGACTTTTCTGATGTTGATAAAGCGTGTTTTTCTGTTCTTCTGGTGCAGAAATGGATTTTGCAATTTCTTTTATTGAAGTAACAACCATTGTCCGCCCTGAGTGATTTTCCGTCGACGCAGTCTAAAGAGCCTTCTTTCACCTAAAGAACCTCTTTCGGAAAATAAACTGAGAGCTATCCCCTTTCGAAAACATACGAAGCATAGACATTGTACTTCATGAGCTCCTGATAATGTGTGCAATTTCAGCTTCTTTTACCCTTGACTGACATGCCATCTTATCACTATTCCCAAATGAAAAACTACTCGGAAAATGACCAGAGTTTGACCCCACTGCATTATCAAAAATATAATAGTTGTATTTAGAAATGTTTGCGCTTCGAAAACCAGTTTTCACGTTATTGAATTTTGTTTGAAGCTTTGTTTATTTGTTCTGGCTAAAGAGCCTCTTGGAGAGTTTCCTCATTTATTTTACAGTTGTTAACTTGGAACACAAAAATGCATTGTTGTCCTGTTATTGTATTTTTAGAAAAAGAAAATTGAAGAATATTCTGAAAGTCTTAAATGAAAAAAGGGTGTGGAAATCACCAAGTACGGCAAAAGTATTTCCCTCATTTTTCTTGTAGGCTATCAGTTTCTAAGATGGCCCACCTCTGCCGACCCTAAAAAGTCAGAGAAACAGTCGGCCTCAACGCCGATTCTTTTTATTTGTTTAACACTGAAATCTACGTCTCTTCAAGAACAGATGGCCTTGCAATTCGTATTTACATGCAATGAATCTTGCCATTTCTGTTATAATGTAAGCAGCAACCATTATCTGTTCTGTGTGACTTTGACATAAAGTAGTCTAAAGGTCCTCTTCGATTAAATAGCCTCTCGGAAAACAACCTGAGAACTTTTACACAAAAACAAGAAACATTAACACTGTCACATTGTAGGCAATGAGTGCACTTTCAGTTGCCTTCATAAGAACACCAAGAGTTCTCTCTTGGAAGCACACATGCCATTTAGTCATTTGTCCGGATTAAAAACCCTCTAAAAAATAACAGCTAGAGTTTTTCTTCTTTAGTACCACTAAAATATGTCAAATAATGCTATATTGTATTAATTTTTACTAATGCTTCTGCGCTCTCGGTAAACAGGTTGTCATGAGTTCCTCACCCATAATAGCCTCTGTCAACGTAGAAATTTTCTTGAAGTAGCTGGATTCAAGTGGGTAGGGAAGTGATTGTTGGAAGGGGGGAGTACTGAGGCTTCTCTAAGCCCGTTTAGATGGAGCTAGTTATCATAAGAACAGATTTCGTTTAGCAAAAAAAGACCAATTGGTACTATCGTCACAAAGCTGATTTCAGTGTGTTCTCCACTTTTCGAGAAAGAGTCTAAAAATTGCTGTCGCTAATTTCCTGCTCAGTTCCAAGACCGGCATGCCGATTCCTTGTTCATCGAACAAAATTAATTCGAGAAGAAGAAGAAAGAAAGCCGTTAATTGCTTTTGCTTAGGCTCGTACTTTCCGCAACTTAACTCAATAACTAACTGTAGTGTAGGTTGATAAATTCCACCAGTCCTGGGAACAGGACAGGCCAATTACATTGCAATTTTTCCCGCGAAGACTGTTACAAAACACTCACCCTGTGAGCAGAGGCTTCTTATGTTTCGTACGCTACTTCATACCGGGAAAAGGTAGCCTCTCTTTCCGAGCCAAATAAGAATGCCCGTTAGGCAGAGTTTTTTTTGCTCTTTTGTGCGACTTCTGCTGATTTTAACCTCAATTTTATACACTTTTTAAAGTTTTTATCATATGCAGCGTTTTTATCGCCTCATCTCAAATAAATCGCCTACAGTTTACAGCACAAAAAGAGCTGAACAAATAGCATGTAAAATGTACTTCTATCGCCTCATTTCTGACAATAATTTTCATCTTTCACCACTGAAATCTTTGATATTAGCTCGACTCTATTATTACGTATTGTAGTATCAAAAAACCTATTTTTTCCAAAAGGTGGGAGGGACAATGCCCCCCTGGCCCCACCCCTTCCACGGGCCTTGTTTTTTGACGGTCTGTCGTGAGCCTGGGAAGCCTTAGACGACCTTAGACTACGAGTAGTCCCCCATTTTTCCTCAGAGAGACGTGTCGCTTTTTCTCGCGTGGGGTGATTTCACGCGCACTCGCGTTTCGCTCGCTCTTGTACTCGTAGTTTAACTTGGTCCATTCTCGTCCCCACAGCCCGTCCTGGTCGGTTATAAATTAAGCCGAGTGGCTCTGGGGACGAGAATGCACTTGAGGACCTCATGTAAAACACGTAAAAGGACTCTGCGTTTATGGCCGCCATTAACCGATTCCGGCGCAGCAAATTTTGTAGCCTGCACGCGGCTGCAAACTTTGTTGCAAAAACTAGAGAGAAAGTTTATGGTTTATCGCGGTGATCTGCGATGGCTGGTGTAGCGGAAACTTTAGATGCAAATCTTATGCCTGGATCAAGTGACAAAAGGGAAACCTTGAGAACAAATAAATCTGATGGTAAGTGTCAAATCTGGTGCAGAATCGAAGCGAAAAGAACTTCAACATTATGATGCCATCCCAATATTTTCGCTTCTGCATTCTCAGTTACTCCTTTTTTTAAACCAATATACACTATTTTCTTTGTTCGTACCTTTTGCTAGTGTATGAATGGATGACAGCGCACATTAGCTCGTGCATACAGCAAAAATCTTAAAAATATATGTATTTCTTATTTCCTGAAATATATTTCTTATTTGCTTTTATCATTAACTCGGGATAACTGATCAATCTTTCGCATTATTTTGGTGTATTTGCCCGTCTGAAGGGTAGATGTCTCGCAGTTTGCTTGTAATTAACCTTCTTGAGGACGTCACTGTTTTGCCCGTTTTTATAGTAAACATCGTACCTTACTAGAGATGCAAAATAAAAAGAGCTGAACAAATTCTGAGCTTTCTTACAACTACTATTAATGTCACCTACGCGTGCAACGAAGTGAATGGGGAATAGTTTACAGTTAAACTACGGGCAAGTCGTTAGCATGCAATCTGTTTATTTAGTATCTCACAAACTTAAGCTTTGAAAAGTTTGGTCCATATCGCCTGTAGCTGTACAGATTTATTTGTATCAAGTGTTTGTCACAGTTGTCACACTAAATAAACACATGTTGGACACAGCTGAATCGTTTATTTTGTTGAGGGATTTTTATCCTGTTTTAAAAATTCAATCATAACAATTTAGGAAAGTGTTGGAGGGATCAGCATTCTAGATGGTGACCCCAGTATTTCACACTACCAATATCATGCTATCCTCAGAGACCTTGCCTTGAAGGAGTCTAGAGACTTGCAACTACTCTGATCCGTTGCTAAAGGAGCTGTGTCACGAAATTCAGCCAAATTAGGTATTACAAAATGCCCGTTAAATCCAAGAAAAACATAAAAATAACTGCTTAAAACATTAAAGGAAGGTTAAAATAACACAACAGATACAACAGATGCCAGGGATGGGCAAAACTGAAGAAGATTGAAATGGATTGAAATTAGGGTTTTTGAAAGCTGTTCATGTTTGCAAGTTCAAAAATAATGCTTAGGAGACATATTAATGTTTGTCTTGAATTTCTGACTTTGTCATTTACATGTAGTTTCTTTGCTTACTTTAAGTTCCAATAGCAACTGAGGGCAAGTAATTAGCAAAATTAAACAAAATGATCTGGACTACCATGACACAGCTCCTTTAATTTTCTCTGCAAAAATTTTTGTTCGCTTTGTTATTCACCGGTCATGGTATTCTTGTAGTGAAGATGACGTATCATGATTTAGCACTTATCTTCTCTCCTGTATCTTAATTACCTATATCTTAGATCTATGATGCACTTTTTCAGATTAGTTTTTCTCTTGTATTATAATTATTTTCCAAGTTGTAGGATGGCAAAGGTTCTATGTCCCACTATGTAGCATTGCATACCTAGATGTATTTTGTTATGTACATGCTGTAACCTCGTGTGCATGAGTATAGACTACTTAGAGCCTCTTGTTATTATTATTATTATTATTATTATTAATTATTAATTATTATTATTATTATTATCATTGCTATTATTATTACAGGTAATACTGATAAATATTTTGTTCCATGTCATGTTATTTTTAATTTTTCAGGGGATGCACAAAAACTGAATGTAGTACTTGCTTCTAATGCTGATGGATGGGATAAGATGACAAATGGAGAATTAGAAAAAGAACTGGCACACAATGAGAGAATCAAACTAAGTGGATTTGTGCCAAAACACACTGAGAAACATAAAGAACTGGCTACTGAGTTAAACATTAAACTTTTTGATGCAAAATTCATTTCTGGGTATTCAGAAACAGAGCTGCTAGCCCATCCACCTGATGATTTGAAAATTGATGTTTTGATGATGCATTGTTATGGATTTAATGTAGGACGACAAGCACAGGTTATAAAAGATAACAAAAACTGTATATGGGCTATTGTTGTGCATACAATCTGTGAGGAACTGGAGAAATACTTAAAGAAAACACAGTCAAGTGAACAATCTGAAGAACAACCATCTGCAGAGCATGAGCTACAGGTGACATTGTGTGAAAAAGCTGATCTTGTCATTGCTGTGGGCCCTAAAGTTGCAGAAGCCTACAAGGCTGCATTGAGCTACTGTGGGAAAGAGGGAAATGTTTTTACCCTAACACCTGGAATTTCAGAAAAATACTCAAGTATCAATTGGCAGTGTGAGAATGCTGCAAGTGAAAATTTCCGTGTACTAGTCAGTGGTTCCACCAAGTATTTCCATGTCAAGGGATGTGACATTGCAGCTCGTGCTATCAGTGTACTGCAGGATGCATCATATCATCTGATACTTGTTGCACAGCCTAAAGATGATGATGATGAGCTTTATGAAGCCATGCAAAAGGAAGAAATAAGTTTAAATCAGCTGACCATTCGTCATTGCTCGGCTGGGGACACAGAAACATGGTTTAAATATCTTCATGAAGTAGATGTTCTCATCAAGCCATCAAGAACGGAAGGCTTTGGAATGAGTGGTCTCCGTGCCATTTCAGCCAATGTTCCTGTTCTGATCAGTGGAAATACTGGGCTAGGTATGACCCTCAATACATTAAAATATGGACCAGAGTTTGTCGTGGATTCTGAAGACCCCCAGGCTTGGGCTGACAAGATAAGGGCATTCAGGGACATGGAACCAAAGGCACTTCGCTCAAAAGTTGGAAAACTGAAAAAGGAATACATGATAAAATATAAGTGGAAGGAACAATGTGAAAAGCTGGTGGACAGATTTTTTGATATGGTCCATGGCCAGTAAGGACATATAACTGGTGTAATAATGACAGTCCTGTATATTGTACATGTACATGTATGTAAAGTCAGCTTGTATAAATGTGACTCTAAATTTAAGAGCACTAATAATGACTGTGAAGGGATATGTGGAATGTCGAGGCTCTAAAATACATGTAAGTTGTGTGACGTCTAATCTAATACCATATTCTCCTTTTGATTTATGGGTCAGACAAATTAGAAGGAGTGCCATGGAGTTTCATATCAGTCACTTCTTCATAATGATCTAATTAATTTTTCTCCACATTGAATTGCATATCTTAAGTATTGTCATACATGGAGGATATGACAGCAAAATGTTTACACAGTCAATTAAAACAGTAAAGATCATGTGATGAATTTGAAGGAAATAACCCAGGAATACCTTTCAAATTGTAAAGTGTTTTCTTTTGAGAGGAGCTTCCCAGGTGAGCATCTTCTTCTTGTGACAATTAACTTGCAGTGTACAGGGTTGTCAGTCATGCGATCTAGTGAGGTCATAATAGACCTTTCCTGCCTTCCAGTGTAGACAAGAAGTCGAAGCCCGGGTTGACAGAATACAGTTACATTATTTTGTTTGCTGCCCTATAGTGAATGCAGGAAAATTATTCACTACACACAGGCGGCAAAATTTTATTTCTCAAATTTTCTTCATCTTGGAACTCCGTTATAATAGCTGTGGTCACACTACAGAGTTTAACCTAGGTAAAACCGATTTTCCTAGGGCAAATTCATCCAAAATCTCCCGCGGTAAATTCATCTCGGGTTTTGTTTTACCTAGGTAAAAATACTGGGAAGGTCACACTACTGATTTCGGCTCCCAAAGTTTTCACGCCAGTTGAATTTTTTGGAGCGTAAATTCAAGATGCCAAAATGCGCAGGGATCTAGCTGATCAAAGAGATGTTTTTTTCTTTTATCTCGCTGTTATTTCTTGCGCTAATTCAATGTGCAAGGTGAAGAAAGGCAAAGACGTGGATGACTCGTGCCCCAAAAATTTCTTTCACAGCGTGATCTATGTCCGGTTCTGTCATCAAGACCTTTGCCGATGAGCGTCTATTGGCTAGCAACCTCGGTATTTCATTTTTCCCTAGCTATTGCTTTGGGGAAGCTGTCAAGGGAAACTCTATTGTTCTCGAGACATATCCAAGACCCAGAGGATAAAATTTCCCCGAGGTAAGTTACCTAGGGACAAATCGGTCACACTTAAAAAATCAAGTTTCCCTAGGTAAACTGTCAACAAGTCGTGTTTACCTAGGTAAAAAGTCTGTAGTGTGACCACAGCCATTATATAGCCAAACCATGCTCTACAGACACCTGCTTAATACGGACACCTCATTGTTATGGACAGTTTGCTTTGTCCCTGGGGATAGAAATCCGTTACATTTTCTCTAAAATTCAACCCGCTTAACACGGACACCCTATTAATACCAACACTTTCTATGCCCCCCCCCCCCAGTATCCGTGTTAACATGGTTTCCTGTATATGTATGTTGCAATAGTGCAAAATATTCGCTGAAATTTAGCTAAGTTTCATAATGTAATTTGAAATGTTGATCGAATTGATATGATACAGTAGTATCTAAAGTAAAATCAGTACTACAATCAAATTTGGTGGTGTGTTTAGAAAAAAAGAGTTTAGAGGTTTTAGAGTACTATAGTATACTATATAGTTCATAATTATTAATATTATAGTCTAGTTTTTTAAAATTAAAATAACTTTGAGGGACAATAATACAATGTATTAAGTTATGTAAAACAGTGTCTCGTAATAATAATGTATATTATTTTATTAGTTTTCTAGACATGTACATGTAGAATTTATATTAGTTCAAAAACTAAAATTATATTTATTACCAAAGGATTATTTTTACCTTGTTTTACTTTTCTTTGAACATTAGAATACTGATCATGAGTTCTCAACACTTGTTTTCCTGTTGATTGGCCAGATCCAAACCTTCAAAACTTTCTGCACGGGTGGGGGGGGGGGGGGGGGGGGGTTGGAAAATTAAAAAACAGTCTTTGGGGAAAAAGAAAAGGTTTTATTTTTCCCCAAAAATTTTTTGAAACTTTAAGATTTTGGTGGAAAGATTATAATTTTGAAAAAAAATTTGACAGGGAGGCCAAGAGTTTTGAGATGAAGTTTTTTTTTATTTTCTTTACTGGATATGNAGATAATGTCTGAAGTTACAATGATATTGAATTTATTGCGGTAAAAGTGTTCTTTTAACCCGAAATGTGCTGAATACAGTCTGCTCACTGATTTCAGTTCATGAACCCTTCTCCCAGTTCTTCCCCAGGGCTTTTGCAAAGAAATCAGTAAGGACCTTGGGGAAAGGTTGTGCATGGGCAAAATATGTAAAACTGAGATTGAATGTTCAGCCAATAAAATTAGCCTTTAGTAGGCTACACTTTAACTTGCTTTGGTATCTAATAGGCTAATTTTAATAATTTTCCACATAGAGATTTCGTAGCCATAATGTCCAATTGGATGCACGGATGTAATCGCATCGTTGAAACACAAAAATTTGCTTTAATTAAGTGGTTTGTAATTGGCCACCTTAGAGAAATGATAACGAAAGGATTGTGGGTAGATCGTCCCAAAGCCGAATGAACTTTTAACCTGAAAAAGACCTATAGGTCACTAGCAGGCTGTGATTGCGGTAATTTCTTTTCTCATTAGACGAAAGAATCAACGGAAAAGCTCCCCGAGGGGCACTCTCTTATTTGCCTAAATGGGTCTGTGCTGTAGCCTGAATGGCAGGTACAGAAAAGGGGAGGGGGAGGAGGAGAAAAGCCCGAGGGGTACCCTCTATAATGGCCTATGCAGGAAGGCTCCCTTTTTCATGTTTCAGGTATGTGAGAGAGTAGGGATTTCACTAGGTATGTGAAAGGGTGGGGACATCTGCTATATTGGTCTGTAAGATACATTTTATGGCTGTAAAAAAGTCGAGAGAACTGGTGTTGTGATTTATCCCCTGGATTTTTTCAAGACAGTGCGTTTACAGCAGTTAAAAGGGATGTAAAGGACAGTTATAGAGTTCCAACGCCTTTTAGCACACGCTAAATTAACATTCGCGCGCGACTAACAGTGCATCTCCCCACCCCGAAAACAGTGTTGAAACCGTCAAAGCACAATTTCTTTGATCTTTCAACATTGTATTGGGTGGGAAAGGGGGAGGGGTTAACGGTTTTTCAAAGGACAGCACTGCTTTTCCCAACATTACTTGTGATACAGATAGAACTGCTGTTATACTCCTCAGGGCTGCTGTCCCAAGAAATTTTGTCCAGGATTGTAGGTATGTGACGGGGGTTAGGGTACCATTTGTCAATAGAAAGTATACGAAAGGGGCTGCTTTTCTGCCCAGATGTATACTGAAAAGGGTAAGGGGCTGGACCTCAAGACGGAGCCTTCTTACTGAAAACTTTGTGGAGTTTTCCCTGGGATGAAAGGGAAAGGGAGGAGGGCCTTTACTTCTCTACCAATCAACAACAACATAAACTTTATTATATTGAACAAATATATAATTACATCAATATACATGGGAAACTAGAAAACTTTGACGGTTTTTTTCAAGGTTCTCCTATTATCTATTATGTTTTCTTATCAGGTCTGGACGCCACGTGTAGCGTAATCTAACCATAAATTGATTTCAAGAATTTAACTTCCACAGCATTAAGAACTGTCTAAACACTGTTGTGAAAAAATATTTATTTCCTTTTTATACTATATTGTGATTTTGTGTTCTTTAAATCTTCTGGAATGGAGTTCAACTTCGTCCTTTTACACTGTATTGAATCATAGCCATAGTTTGTTCTGTAATACTGCCTATGTATATTATTGCTTCGCCGTGTAGAATAAGAATGAAGTTGACTATTCAAAATATAAATATCTCTAAGATTATACGGCAACACGAGCCTGACGGCAACTTATTATTAAATAGGTCAAACTCAGGCTCACTTGTGCAAATTCGGGGAAATCGCCATCCAGCGAGGAATCTGGTTTCTGTCAAGTCAAATGAACAGGGTGTATGCAAAACAAAACCAATTAGGTTAGTAGAATAAGGTCTCTTGTCTTAAACTTTATGGGAAATGAGCAATTCTTTACCGTCAGGCTGTCAGGGTTTGGAGGTCTCGGAGGCCGTGCGAGGCACCCCCTCTACCCAAACTTTGCTATGGGCAGTCCCCTCTCGGGGCTCCACCCTGCGTGGGGTAGGTAAAGCTACACACCCGACCTTCAAGTACACGTGCAAATTCGATTCGCTTGGTAAACATCGTCCCCTGGGCCAAGCCGAAACGTAAGAAAGAATGGGGAAGAGATACTAAAATTGGGTATGATCTCAGGTTAGACCTCGTAGTCTCATCTCGCAGCCGCCCCGCCCTCGCATCATGATGAGAAAGGGAAAAATCCCTGTCCCACAGACCTTTGCGGCCTTTTGGCGTGAATGCAGTTATGGCGGCGAGTTTGAGAGATGATCAACCATGTCTGCAGCCTCGCGGCTTAAATTTTGGCTTGAATGGTAATTATATTCTCAGTGAGACAAGTATCAGTTTCTAGCTTAGCAATTTGGTAACAACAGATTGGTAATTAATGTAGCTTTAGACAAAAATATGCTGTGTATTTTCAGTACCGTGTACGGGGAATTATTCCTTCTTAAAGAAGGAATACAATGAAGCTTTTGAAGTATTTTCAGTTTTCATTCTAGTAATGTTACACGTGGCTTGTGTGTATTAAAGGCACTTAAGTTCCTCTATTTCATCCCAAACATTGAAACTTTGAGAAAATGCGAAAAATGCTCTCATTACAATTCTCTTTTCATCCAAGCTAGCACTTCCGGCATATACTTTTTTAAGTTCTTGTTGTGGCTATAAGCTTATATGTAGGCTTATATGCAGATCGATCTGTGCAGTACAAATACAGGGCCCCATCTTTGCATCTTATTGTAGCCTGTGGGCTGGCTTTTCTTGTAAGGATGTGAGAGAAATGTGTGGGTTAAAATGTTTTGGAGCTGTCAATTCTGCCCTCAGGTCTAGTAAGCAGTGACCGGTCACATACCCTAGTTTCAAATAAACAACCAACAGGTGGGTTTTATGCGGATATTTTTGGACCCCACTGATCTTCATTGATGGCGTCGAAACTTGAAAGAAAAGTATAAATACAAGTGAATTACTGTTTTTGTGAAACTCCACACTGTCATTTAACCAGGGAATAGAGTTAATCTTTGTTCACGTTTAATACTGTCGGTTGCATCTATAAGCGTGTACACGTGAGGAAAAAACGTGTTCTAATTTATTGGGTGCAAAAGTGACATGTTTTGGCACCAAACGTTCGAAGTTTGGAGTAGGCAGCTGTTGTCGACTTGATTTGTTTTTGCTCAACAAAATCAGCGGAACGTGCTGATCAAAAACAAATAAACAACTTACCTTTGGCGTGGCAGTTTGCTTTAACGGCTGTCAAAATTCAAATGTTTGGCGACGAAACACATGATGTCTGGCACCCTATTACAACATGTTTTTTTTGTCTCGTATCCATGCTTAGATGCAAATGACGGTATAATGTCCAACAATGTTCAACATGTTGAATGGCTTTATGAATGTTGTGTGATATAATGGAGGTGGGATTGTTTAATGACTGTTGAACGGGAGCCCCATAATGGTTGTTGTGTTGTCAACAAAAGGTCAAATCATGTGCAGGCAGTGTAATGTAGTTTGTGGAATTTTGTATCAGTACCTTTGCTACACTATTTGGAACTTGTTCCATTTTTATCAAAACTCAGTGCTGTAATAGTGTTTTTGTTGTTGCTGTTGTTGTTGTTGTACTTGTTTTTGAGGGGTTTCATTTAAGTACTTCTAAGCTTTCTAATTTGCTTTCTAGGTGTGCCTATACAGAGAATTACACTTGCATCCAATGCTGAAGGATGGGACAAGATGGTGAATGGCCAATTAGAAAGTACACTGGCTCTGGATGATAGAGTCCTTGTCACTGGATTTGTACCAGGAAACACTCTGCAGCAAAGAGAACATGCCAGGGAGTTAAATATTGACCTTTTTGATGCAAAATTCATTTCTGGCTATTCACCAACAGAGTTGTTGGCCTATCCTCCTGATGATCTAAACATTGACATTTTGATGATGCATTCTTATGGGCGTGATGTTGGGCGACAAGCTCAGATCATTAAGGACACTAAGAACTGTAAGTGGGTTCTTGTTGTGCATACAGTAAGTGAGGAACTGGAAAAATATGCACAAAAAGCAGCCTCAAGGGCAGCTGTGAACGAACCAATATCTGAACATGAGCTACAGGTGAAACTCTGTGAGAAGGCTGATCTTGTTGTTGCTGTGGGCCCAAAAGTTGCAGAAGCTTACAAGGCAGCTTTGCGATACTGTGGTAAACAGGATAGCGTTTTTACCCTCATGCCAAAAATTTCAAGTGAATTTCTAGGTGTGCGTCAGTCATCAGACACCAAGTCCTGGGATACAGGTGAAAAGTTCCGTATACTGATCAGTGGTTCTGCCAAGTATTTTAAAGTCAAGGGATGTGACATTGCAGCTAAAGCTATCAATCTACTGCAAGATTCATCTTATCATCTGATTCTTGTTGTACTCCAAGATGATAACATCGCTGAAATTCAGCAAGCCATGTATGAGGAAGGAATCAATGTGAAACAACTGATAGTGCGGAGATGTTCTGGGACCACAGAAGTGTGGCACAAATTGCTTTGTGAGGTAGATCTTCTCATCAAGCCATCAAGAACAGAAGGCTTTGGAATGAGTGGTCTCAGGGCTATTTCTGCTGATCTTCCCCTCCTTGTCAGCAGAAGTTGTGGGCTTGGCATTGCCTTGAAGAGTTTACCCTCTGGTAGAAACCATGTGGTTGATTCTGATGAGCCAAAAATTTGGGCTGATAAGATCAAAGAAGTCAGGGAAAAGGGCTTCAAGACTTGCCATGTTCATGCTGAGCAGCTAAGAAGTGAATATACAACAAGATTTCTGTGGGAGGAACAAATTGACCACTTGTTGAGAATATTTTCAGAGATGGTAGCACAAAATCAGGGTATGAAAAGTGCAGCAATGTAAAATGTTTATTTATGTTTTTGAAAATTGTGCTAGTAAATGGGGCAAACGTATGGATGGATTGGTTCAAAACAGTGTTTGTTTAGACTCATCAAAATGCAACCAGGTGAATTCAATTTCAATTTCAATTCTTCTCGGAAAGTTCCTCTTTCTTGTTTACTGTGTTTTTCTTTGTACTGCTTCAGGAAGCCTTCCATAGTGTTTGACACTACTCTTGTTCGTTGTTAGGTTTCTCGATCTTCCATTTCCTATTCACAAATTTTGGGCAGCAACCATAATTTTCTGAAAAAAACTATCAAAGGATCTTTGCATCTTATCTGTATAATAAACAGGTCACACGAACAAGCCACTTCCAAAAATGCAAAAGACGAGATGGTGGAGGTATATAAAGGTTGTGTCCTGATCTCCCCATCCAACAAAAGCCTGGTTACCTTTGGTCACCTTGAGTTTCATGAAATCTATGTTTTTCATATTGTTCAATCATGCTGTAAGCATATCTTTCACAACAATTTGTTCAAGATAGAAAACAATTTTATACGTGAAGAGAAAAGAAACACATCAGCCTTTTGTGACCAAAATTAATGTTCATTTGCAAGAAGAGTTTCTATGAATGAAACTACTTATTTAACAGTAATTTTTGCTAACCATGTCAGGTTGCTCGGTCGGCACATTTTTAGTAAGGAATTGTTGGACACTACGTGTACTAACCATTGGTTAACTGGTTACCATTAATTTCGAGCCCCGAGTGGCATCTGGAAAAGATGGTATTGATTCACGTCACTTCCCTTTTGTCATTGTAGAAAGAGTTATTGCTGAAGCTGACCGGGTCGATGGAAGGTTTCTTGATGAGGATATCAACCCAAGTATTCAAGAGTCAAACCAAGATGTGAGTGGTCGTGATAGATTGGATGCAATGGCAGTGGCCCGACAGGTAGATACCTTAAAGAGAAGTCATGTATTGTCAACTAAAGTGTGTGACTTGCCTGTGCAAGTTTATAAACAGATTTGTGAGCAGTTGAATGTCAAGCGAGATGAGAAATTTGATGACTTCAGGATTCTTGCTGAGAAACTTGGATTCTCAAGGGAACAAATACGCCATTTTGAGTCGAAAGATGACCCCACCGATGAAATTCTGACGTCGTGGTCTTTAGCAAGTGGTGAAGCAACAGTGGGAAAGCTGATTGAATTGTTGAATGGGGAGGACCTTGAACGATGGGACGTGGCAAAGACTCTTGAGCACTGGGTAGACGAACAGAACTTCCATACTTAATCTGACAACGAATTTGTTTCAAGAGCTTACTGATCTATCAGATCATGTAGTTATTGCTTACTTGAGGAGTAATGGTGACACTTAAGTATAACTACACAGCAAAGATAATTAAATGCTTTACTTCTCCCTCAGTGGCAAGTTCCAGAGGGTGGCCTCCTTTGCCCCAGAAGGGTATGTGCGGCCAAACAGGGTATGGTTTTTCATTGTCTTGAGTGTAAATAGGGTATACAATTTCACTATTTGACGTCTTTAACAGTATTTCATTCTCCTTTTTGGGGAGAGGGGCACTCCCATATAAAAGTGTTGGAGATGCTCACGCTCGTTGTCTCACTTAGGGGTAGAAATTGCAGATTTTGGTCTCACTTAAGGTATTCAGGATGCAAAGCCAATATTCTTTCTCATAAAGATATCCAGGGTTATGGGTAAAGAAATATCCAGATAAAATAAAAGCAAATGACACCACAATCTGCTGGAGTATGCCTTTTTGGTCTTCCTCCTTTGAAGGAGACCAAAAGGTGGGCCAATAATTAAAGTGCAAGCCACACAGATTAGTTTGCTGAAGGAGTCACCCCCTGGGTACCCTGCCAGCACAGCCTTTCTTTCGCTTGCTTGATTTTGGAAGAAAGACTCTGCATGAATTGAGTAAGATCTTTGTTAAGTGTGTGCGGCATGTTGCTAGGATACAGTTTCAAACCCAGGCCTACATGTAATAGGCGTGTGTTTGCTACAGTGTTCTCTGGTCATCGGTTCTTCAATAAACAGATGCTTGCACTCCAAAAAACCAGGTTGACATGAGGAAACAAGATTGACTAGTTCAGAAGTTTGGGCTGTGGCAACCTTAAAGGTTTGACATGATTCGGGCAGAGTTTCCTTTTCTCCGATCAAGAAGACAAAAGGAGGCTCTGTTTGCAGGATACCCCCTGGGGTCATTCTAGACCAGAAACCATGAAAAGGCACTGGAAGTGGGAGAACGTTGGCAAAGCACAGTATACATTTTTTTAAAATCTAATTCTGTCATGTTAGTTTTTTTTTTTCTCGCTAAATTCTATTTTCAAAATGAAATAGACTAAATCAGTTGGTGAAAAATGATTTCTTGCTGTAAACAGGGTAGTAAAATGGGTCAGTGGTTTATCAGGCATCATTAAATGCCACTTTTGTAGAATAAAAGTTTTAGAAAACTGAGGCGAACATTAATTTTATTGCAAACCAAATGACTAGATTTTTTAAAATAATAGATTCCAGGGCTGTGTTCTAGAAGTTCCCCTTCTCTACACGTGTAGGGACTTGTTTTGCCTTAAGCTAGAAGATAATCTTCATGGTTTTTTTTAACAAGAATATTTTTGTATGTTGGGCAACCCTATTTCACAGGTTAGAGTTTTTGTATTTGTTTTTTTTCAGAGCACAGCCTTGTATGTAGCAACATAATAGTCATCATCATTATGTCATAGTAAATAGTTTTAGAACCAGCACTATGGCATGTATTGAGCCTCTCTATGGGTACCTGCAGGTGTTATTGTTGTAACATTTTTCATTTATCAGTTTTCCAAGAAAATCTTAGCATGTCAAGAATGTTATTATTTTGCATAGTAACACTACTCCACAATGACGATGATGACGGAAATGAGAAAATAAATATAAAAAAGCAACAGGTTTATTAAGCAAAACAAAAACTAGGCACCTCACTTTCTGGCAGATTTATTTGCTGTCATCACCCAACTACCTTTGTCAAAAAAATAGGAGTGGTGATGTGATTGTCACTTTAATCTCTGAGATTGTTGTTTCGTCAATAGCAATTGTTTGTGACTGATTTCCTCAGGAATACCTATACAGGGTCTCAGTATTGCTGAGGGAGTAGCTATTTACTATTGCCTGAAAAAATAGCTTAACTTTATAGAGCCTCCTTCAAATACCCCTGTATTTGGTTGTGGAAAAAGGCTTAGATGCAGCCTCTAGGGAACACCGAAGCCTACAAGACGTTAAAAAGCTGGCTACGCCCCTGCCAACTCAGACATTTCAATAGCTTTTGAGAAGTAGGTTATTCTAGTAAACTCCAAGCTAGAGGAAGTGGCCTGATAGACTTACAGCACCTGTATGTTTTCTTACCTCAGTGAAGATCAAAATAGACTGCATGCAAAACTGCATGATCATAACCAATTTTGAGTATAAACTTCCTTAAGTGCTGTCAATAATCTACTCTGGGTAACAACAGTCACAGGCAAACAAGTCCTATCATGAAAGAATACCCCTTAGAGCTCTGGCTGGTGCAAGTCTTTGTAATGAAATCGCTCACAACAATAATATTGTTTGCATGTGTAGATTATATTAGGCAGAATACAATATTGTTATAATAGATCTGTAAAGGTAACTGGGCTTTAGAGAGGGAAATTGTGATCAGCTAGTATGTAAATCATGTAGTAATACTCTTCAAATACATTTTAATGTTAAGTTTTTAACCTCATTCTCAATAACTTGAACTCATAGTCAAAACTTGAACAGGTCAGAGTGTTTTTGAAAGAGATAAGCCCTAGTACATCTTTCACTGCTAGGATGAGTCCTTTTTTTAGTTGATTGAGACAGAAAACTGTTGATGACAAGACTGGGAAAAAGTGGATTGGCAGAAAAAGAACTTGCCTCCTCTGTCCTCTCCTTGACTGGCTGCTGTTCCATCCAAATCAGGGTTCATACAAAAAATTGCAACCATAAAAATTTCAACTGAAGGACTTTTCAAGGACCACCTACTAGGAGTTATAATCTCACAGATTCTACAAAAGTACATTCCCAGTCTATTCTAATTAGGCTTTAAGGCTTGAACTGATTGCCTCACCAACTTCTATACATTTTTCAGTTCACTTGTCTTAAATTGCATAAGACATTGAGCACTTTGTGTAAATAACCTTTAAATTCTCTGAGCTGTGATTCATAATTATTTACAATTCTGTCTTGGACAACCAAAAAGCATCAAAAAACACTTTCCAGGCCACTACATTCATAGCCTGCGAAGTGCAGACGCATTTCCGGTCGTCGCTTCTCTCCCTCCGAAGGAGAGAAGCGACGACCGGAAATGCGTCTGCGCTTCACAGGCTACTACATTCAAAGTTGAAGAAAATTCAATGATTTGCTTAGAAATTTAAGGATTTTTCAGGGAAAATGGAATTAAAGGACTTTTCAAGGACCTCCCCTAAAATTCAAGGACTTTTCAACACTGTGTGAACCCTGAATAATGCTTAGGGGGTGGGAGGGGGCTGATTTAAGTTTGTACACTGTTCACAGTTTGGCATCGTGCAGCTGGGGGAGAACTTTCCCAAATAATACTTCTAGTGTTTATGAAAGTTCAAGTTATTGAAATGCAGCTGAATGTATTAGAAAGTGTTAAGAAAAGAGACTGAATATAACTATAATGCATTAAAGAAAGCTTAGAACAAATGAAGTGTTTTTAATAATTTTATCAACACATAGAAAACAACAGTACTAGTACAAGTGCACTATGATGATCAAAACTAATATCTACTATTTTAGATTTACATTAAAGCATTATTCCTTGCTATTTTACCTCAATTTACAGCAAGTGAATATAAACTCCTGGGTAGTGATTTAGCTGCACAAGGTATGTGTCAGCACTTACTATTAAAAATGAAGCAGAATGACTTTTTATCACATCTAGCTTTGCTAAAACTTTCAGTTCTAACTTAAGATAAACAACATTAAAACCAACTGATTCTAGAGGTGCGGGGAACGTTTTAGTTTCAACCACAGACCTTTGAGTCTCAATAGGTTTAAGGTCAAATGAGGCCCTCTTAGGGGGCAGGGGGGGTACGCATGTCCCTCATTTGAATTTCAACAGTGTTCATTTTGCATATTGAAGAGGAGGCAGTGTCGCTGATGACTGTTGGTATTTTTTACTGTTGTATTTGTGATTTTCCTTGTCACTGTTGCAGTTTTGAACTAAAGTTGTGTCATTTGTCACCAATTCATCCGCTTTGTGTCGCTGTTTCAAGGCCATGTTGCTTGTCGTAATTTAACCCTAACAGGGCCTCTCAAATATTTTCTTACATTTGGAGTTCTCAGTTTACAAAAGTCTCAGGACTGGCAAAAATAAAATCAAAACAAAGTTCTTATAGTTAATCTAACAGTCATATCACCTTATTCCCTGATAAAAAATCACTGATTTGGAAAAGGTGTTATGGATTAAATAATCTTCAATTTTTTGTTTTTGCTTTAAGCGTAACAAAACAAACTTAAATGGTGTAAATTGATCACTTATACCAATACACTATAATAACTGCTGCCATGCATGGGCTCTATTCGGACTAGCTATATGAGTGCTAAGTCTCCTAACTTTTTCTTCAAAGCTGGGGAGCAAGGGTGGCTGCAGTGGTGAGAGCACTCACCTCCCACCAATGTGGCCCAGGCTCAAATCCTGGCGTTGATGTCATATGTCAGTTGAGTTTGTTGTTGGTTCTTACCCTTGCTTTGAGAGGTTTTTTCTCCATGTACTCTGATTATCCCCTCTCCTCAAAAATCAACATATCCAAATTCCAATTATTCTACCAGGAATCAAGTTGCCAAAGAACCACTATGTGGATGTGCTACCTTAACCTCCAATCGTTGATTAAATTTAGTGATGTGGCTTGATGAAAGATGGATGTATTGGGAGCCACTCATTTCACTTAATAGATAAAGATGAGAGGTTGCTTGTAGTCTAACTTCTAATTCGTGACATACATGTATACCAGGGGGAGTTTTGCTAAATCTAGCATCTAATGTTTCTAACAATCAAGCTGGCTGATAATGAATAACTAGGGCAGAATCACAACCTTTTTGGTGCTTGCCTGGTAACAAGATTACGTATCACTTTTCTGAAATCAAAGATAACATTTGTGTGACCAGCTTATCACACTGTTCCTTCCAGTTGAACTGCTTCTCATATTCACTTCTCAGCTCCTCAGCTTCCAACTGGTTTGTTTTTGACCCCTTTTCTTTGACTTCTCGTATTTTGTCAGCCCAAACCTGTGGGTCTTCAGATTCCACCACATGCTTGTTTCCAGATGGCAGCTTCTGGAGGGCCACGCCCAGTCCACAGCAGTTACTGGCTAGGAGTGGCAGATCTGCAGAAATGGCACGAAGACCACTCACTCCAAAGCCTTCTGCTCTCGATGGCTTGATGAGAAGATCTACCTTACAAAGTAAGTTGCTCCAATCTTCTGCACCATTTGAGACTTCCACAGTAAAATGGTTGGAATCAATTCCCTCATTCTGCAAGGCCTCTGTTATCTCTGCAACATTTTCCTTGGGCTTCACAATAAATGTGAGGTGGTATTTGTAGGATGCACTGTTCAGTAACTTGATCGCCTTGGCAGCAATGTCACATCCCTTTACTTTAAAGTACTTCAGTGATCCACTCATCAGTACATGGAACTTCTCTCCTTCCTCTTTTGTTGGCCGAGCACCGATCAAGTTGTAAAAGATTCCAGGTGTTAGGTCGATTACATCTTTATCTTTTCCACTTGGCTGCAGTGCTAATCGATAGGCAGCAGCTACTTTTGGTCCAACTCCGATCACAACGTCGGCAATTTTAGACAGCTCAATTTGGACTTCATGCTCAGTTATAAGCTCTGCTGGTGTGTCTGAAAATTTGGCAAGTTCTTCACAAACAGTGTGAATAACATGAAGCCATTTGCAACTTTTCCTTTCCCTGACGATTTGTGCTTGCCGTCCAAGGTAACGTCCATAAGAATGAAAAATCACGACATCAATTTCAAGACTATCAGGTGGGAAAGCCAGCGTGTCACTTGGTAAAAGAACAGGTATATCCTTTGCCTCAAAAAGCTCAATACCCAACTTTTTAGCATCCTTGTTTTGTTTCTCAGTGATGCCTTTTGGCAAGAGTCCACTGAGTTTAACTCGTGGGTTAGCAGCAAGCTCAAGGATCAACTGCGCATTCACAGCAATGTCCCATCCCTCATTATCTGAAGCCAAAGTGACCTTCAGTTTTGGCTGTTTATCTGATACTGCA